GTTTTAGATTTTCTTGTCAACCTTTTATACTTTAAATTATTCTGCGCTAGGAGTATCACTATGAGTTCAAGGCCAGCCTGGACTACACAGTGAGATCCTGTCTCAAAAAACAAAAAATTCTGTGCTCTTTACTCATACTGGATTTTCAATCCCCTTAAAATATATTTAATTTTTTTTCTGTTTAAATCACGTTCCATTAAATATTTCAGATATCTCACTCTTCAAACATTTCCCTTTCTAATTTTCCAACTAAGTTTTTCTCAAGAGTAAACAGAATTGAAGTCAAGTAATATTTGGTTAAGTAAAGAAATATTTTGTCACAGTAAAATGAATAATTTTCCCCAATTTTTTATAATGAAAAATTTCAAACATGCTGCCAAGTTGAAAGAACTATAGAGTGAGTGCCCATGTTATATGGACCTCACTGCCTGTAATCCACAGTGTATCAGTATTTACTAGAGAAACAGATGTAACACAAGATATATAAATAAATGTTTGCGGCTGGGGATTTAGCTCAGTGGTTCCGCCACCTGTCTCGTAAGCACAAGGACCCCAGTTCAATCCCCGGTACCAAAAAAAAAAGTTTGCAAGGTTGGCTTACAGAGGCCACCCACAGAGTCGGATGTGAGAGTGCGGAGGGTCTGTCTGCACATGGGAGACCGAAGGACTTAGTCGGAGGCTTGGAGCTCACTGCGGGGTCCCGTGTGAGTCCGCGTCAGGAGGCTGAACAGTCTATGCCGGAAGGAAGGCTGAAGGAGCTGATCTCTGAGGGAAGCCAAAGAGTCTTTGCTGCAAGGCAGGAGATGGTGTCCAAGGCCAGGATGGGAGCTCTGAAGGAACAGAAGCTGCCTCATCCTTCCTCATTTCCGGGCCTTGAGCCACCCTAAACAGCCGAGCTATTTAGTTAAGCTTCTCTTTCTTAACTGAACTTCTCAAGTTGACACCATCGCTCAACTGTCATGCACAGTTCTTAACAATTTGCTATACTTGCTTTTATCGTTATCACATTCCTATTAAGTCATCAGCTCATCTCATTTTTTAAGCATTTTAAAGTAAGCTGTATATTTTAGCACATTGTCTCTTACGTCAGCATGCATAATATTAACCCGTTGTCAATATGCTCTTGTTCTTTTCTTGTGTTTTTATTTTGTATTGCTAGAGATCAAGCCAAGGCCTTGTGCATTCTAGGCCAGCCCTCTGCCACTGAACTCTTTCCCCCAGGATCTTTTTTCTTTTTCAGTACCAGGCCTTGAGCCAGGGAGTGCTCTACCACTGAGCTGCATAGACTCTTAGGGGGTGGGGAGCTGAGACAGGGTCTTGCCATGTATTTTAGGCTGGTCTTGAACTCACTAGGTCGTCTAGGTGGACCTCAAACTCTTGGCGATTCTTCCTGCCTCAGCTCCTGAGTGCTTGGATTACAGGTGTGCGCCACCACACCTGGCCATTGATTTAATAGCTTGCTGCTTTCTGTTTGTCCCTGGGAGGAATTGTTGCTGTTTCCAAAAAAATAAGACCTGACTGGAAAATAATCAGCACTGAAAACTAGAGATCAAAAGTGCCAGCCCCATTCAGCCTATCCCTGCCTTACCTGCCACCGAGCAAGAGCATAGTGAAGGCAGGTAAGGCCTGGCCTTTTTTTGGGGAAACATGATGAGATGCCTTAAAATAGACTACAAACGTTGAGGCTCTGCTGAAACTGTAGATCCAAGCATGACTATCTCTGCTGAGTAAATGTGGCACATTGTTCTGCCTCTCCGAGCTTCAGTTTGCCATCAGGAAAATGAGAGGAAAGCAAGTCCTGTGGGGCACATGGATAATGTGTACAAGTGCTTGCCACAGGGGTCGACACCGATACTTAACTTCTGCCTGGACTGGCACAAAACTAAGTTGAGGGGAAATGAGGAAAACTTTTAGTTGATAAAATCCAAAATGTAATCTGCTTGCTTCTAAACAATGTAAGCAAAATAATTCAAGTCAGACCATAGGGGTCAAATTTGGCATGTTATTTTGGAGTTGAGGGAGGTGTAGCTCAGTGGCAGAGCACTTGTCTTGCAGGCTCAAGGGCCCTGGGATTAATCCAGTGCTGGGGTGGGGGAAGCCCTGGGTTCAATCTGCAGAACCACAAAAGGAAAAAAAAGTTGAGTATTTGAAACAATGTAGTAAATATCCTTCAAGACTATACTTTGAGGCAAAAAAAGACTGTACACTTTGAGAACCAATTCTCAGAAGTATGCAAGGGCAGATTGTGCCTTAGAACTTAGAATAGAGACGTGAGAGACAGTATAGGATTCAGGTTGCTTAATTCCTAAAATACTGCTCTTTTCACCTGGGGACCCCTGTGATGGTGGAATGAACAGCTACTGCCCTTTGGGAAAAACCCAGCTTAGCCCTGCGTGGTGGACCATGCCTGTGATTGCAGCTCTTGGGAGGCTGAGCCAGGAGGCTCGACATGAGTTTGAGGCCAGCCTGGACTACATAGTGAACCCTTGTTTCAAAAAACAAAAACAAAAAAAAGCCCAGCTTAAGACCGATCAAGTTTGGGCATTTTCTATGTATGTCACCTGTAACTTACCCTCTGTGTATCTCAATTTCCTCATATGTAAATGGAAAGGTGGATTTTTCTCAGGCTTTGTTTTATTTTTCATTTGCTTTGTTGTGCTAGAGATTGAAACCAGGGCAAGCACTCTACCATATTCCCAGTCCCTCTAAGGGTTGTTGTTGTTGTTTTTCTGATATCGGGACTCAAACTCAGGACCTAGAGTTTGCCAGGCAGGTGTGGCGCCACTGAGCTACATCCCCGGGCTTTTTTTTTTTTTTTTTAATTAAATGAATTACATTTTTTTTTTAAAGAACCAGTGAACTGAATTTGGAGTAATGTCAAATGTAAAAGTTACCAAACACTAACAAAAGCAAAAAGAAGAGTGTAGGGACTTGGGCAAAACTGTGATTCTTATGAAGAGCACGCCAGTTCAGTAGAGTTGCTGCAGCCTCAGATGTCACATCCGGTTCCATACTCCACTTCTGGGAGGCTTCTCAGGGCCGGGCCTGCACCACGTGCTGACATCATGGGGCAAGTTGGGGTGATGGGACTTAACTGGGGTCCCACCGAGATTGCACCTCATAGATGAGTACTTTCCATGGAGCAAAAGCAAGATGTTACTGCAAGAAAAATGGGGAGTAACTGCTGGCCAGGCTTAAACATCAAGATGCCTTGAGCCCATGCTAACATTAAGTATCCCTTGTGTGCTTGCAATTGATAATAGATGCAGAAGGGAATACTTTTAAGACTAATGGCCAATATAATTGCGAGTTAAAGGCGAAAAGGAACAGAAGGATTTTAGAAGATAGCTGTGGTTATCCATTACTAAAATTGATTATAGGTACGCATTTAAATGCTACCCAAATGCCCATTAGCAATAGAATGGGAAATAAATTCTGGTGTATTCACACAACAGACCACAGAACTAGAATGGACCGTCTTGACTACATGCCACAGCATGATGAATCTTTTGATCAGAATATTGAGCTAAATAAAGAAAGCAGATGCAAAGAGTATATACCAGATCACTCCATTTATGGAAAGTACAAAAACAAGCAAACTAATCTTCGTTAGAAGTTAGTGGTCATAGCCTTGAAGGATCATAAGCAGGAATGACAAGGCTGTAGTCTGCGGATTGATAAAACATTTGGTAAATATACATTTTTGTAGATGGAGGTATATGTCACTCTTAAGAGTCAGTGATGACCTTGGAGATGTTAGAATTGTGGCTGGAAGGAAATAGGAGGAGGAGTCTGCCATTTGGCCTAGCTGTTTTTTCCCATGGGTGCTGGCTCTATGGTGTGTTCCGTGGGTGAGAGGTCACTGAACTGGATTATGCCTGTGACACGTACTTGTTAGTATATATAGCATACTTACAATTTAAAAAGTTTAACGTTTGACATGTGCTAATATTCCTAAATAGATATGATGCTCAGAAGTTTAAGAGCTAGCCGATCATGCTAATGTGAACTGCCTATCTAAATGTTTATTTCCACTCCCATGTATATTAGCCTTCAAAATGCCTATAAATAGGTCAAGAGTTTCTGTGAATACTGTGGTTTGTGTTTATTTTGTTAGGATCATCTTTAAATAAGTCAGAGCCTATATTTCTTGACTCAGGATACTCTTAAACTAGTAATTTTGATTAGATAATTTTCTATAATGGGGGATGACTTAAAAAAAATTTTCTTTTAGGTACTGGGAATCGAACTCAGGACCTTGCACTTGCAAGGCAGGCATGGTGCTGCTGAGCTAAATTCCCGGCCCAATTTTAAAGAGTTTTCATAAAGAATTATAAAGTGTCTTATATTTTTTTACTTCTTCAATTTGTGGCTCTTTTCTTGTTTTCTTTTCTCCCCCCCTCCCCATGCTGGTGGTGAAGGCAGGGCCTTGCAAGTGTCAGGCAAGCCCTCTGCCACTGTGCTATTCCTCTCAGTCTGCTACAATTTTCAAATTTTTTTTTAGGGGGTTGCATTTGGGATTGAACCTGGGACCTTGGTACTGAGCTACATCTCAGTCCCTGCCCCCCCCATCTCTGTTCCCCCCATCCCCTATTCCCACCGCTGCCTTTTTTGAAACAGGGTCTCACTAAGTATTAAGTTGCCTGGACTGGACTGAAACTTGGCAATCCTCCTGCCTCAGCCTTCCAAGTAGCTAGAATTGCAAGCGTGCATCATTGTACCCAGCTGAGTTATAGTTTTAACTCAGTCTGTAGTAATCCTCTCACCCACTTTGTGTTCTTCCTTTTGTTTCAATGTGTGCAAGTGCATGTGGTGAGAATGTGTCTAACTGGGAAGGTAAGCCGTGGTCTGGGAAGCAAGTGGACCTGTGATTTGGTAATGCGGTTTGTAGTGTTGCAAGGTGTCACTAAATTACAGCTTCCACAGACACGGGGCGGGGGGCGGGGCGCTCTTTTGTGTCTTTCTGTGGGAGTGATGTGTTCTTGGTTGGTTTGGGGTAGATTCTGCCGCTCCTGTATTGCCACCAGTCTAAAGAACAATAAGTGGACCTGTCCGTATTGCCGGGCATATCTTCCTTCAGAAGGAGTTCCAGCGACAGACGTAGCCAGAAGAATGAAGTCAGAGTTCCAGAACTGTGCCGAGTGTGATGCCCTGGTATGTGACTCTACCTGTGCTTGTGGTTACTGGCTTAGGTCCCTGAGAAAATTTCCATTTCACCTATGCTTTTGACCACATCCTCTTCTAAAGTGTTTTTATATCGCCTCCCCGCTTTTCTGTACTTTCAAATAAACAGTCCTTTGAACTCCTGTCTTCACCTAATTTTTCAAGAGCTTTCATTGACTGCCTCCATCTCCTCCTCCTACTATGATGATCCCCTATTACCTGGCCTCCATCCCTGCTATTCTGATGCAGCCCACCAATGAAGTTTCATTCTCAAATCCAGTGGCACCCACCTTTTTTATTCTGGACTTGGTGATATTTATCAATCACTTCCTTGTGGCAGTTTGTTGCTTTTGGTATTTTTCTAGGTGGGTCAGATCATAGGAGGTCTTGGAGGACATGTGAGAGAGTGTAGACTTCATCCTACGAAATGAAATGAAATATTATGAAATAGTGAGCCATAGAAAGAGTGTAAGCTCTGGAGTGCCAAGACGGCTTGTATGTTTAAGGTATCACTCTAACATATGTGCACAGAAGGGTTCGGAGGGGGCAAAACAGCCTTCTGAGGCTGAAACCAGTAGATCAGGTAAGGAAAGTGGTTTAGGGTCATAGCATTAGGTACACAAGAAGGGATCGTTTTGAGGAATATTAGTGAAGGAATTGGCAAGTGACTGGATGTAGGAGCGAGAGAAAAGACAAGAATAAGTGAGAGTACTAATCAGATCAGCACATTTGGAGAAGAATCAACACAGTAAAGTTCTGGATATGTTACTGGGTGTTATGTTATATGTTTGGCTAGATTATTTGATCTGCCGAGGGGAGACACTGATTGATTGGACATTTAGATTTCACAGTCTAGAGATCAGTGCTCTTTTTGGGAGTTGCTGGGGATCCAACCCAAGACCTCGCTCCTGCTTAACAGCTGCAATATCACATAGCTGCGTCTCCAGCCTTAGCGATCCAAAGAGAGAAAGTATGTGTTAAGGATCTGGTTTTCTTTCAAGAACCTTTCTTGTCATTTAGCCGTGTTATTCTTTCTCTTGACAGCCTGTGCTTTCCCTTGATACCACTTAACCCCATTTGTAATTATACCTTTTTTTTTGTTTTTCCCACCAGATTGGAGTTCTGTGAGGGGAAAGAACAGTGTCCGCTTTATTGACAGCTATACTCAGCACTTTCTTTTTTGAAAGTTGAAACTTCAAGTAATCATTCACTCAGAACAGGAAAATAAAATTGTCAAAATGGAATTTCTAAAAAACACAGAAAACGGGCCAGGGTTTTAGCTCAGTGGTTCTGCCGTCTGCCTCGCAAGCACAAGAACCTGAGTTTGAGCCCCAGAACCAAAAAAACCCACAGAAAACAAATTAAACCCAGTGCCCAGCGGTCTGTGTACAAGGTGGTGCCCTGCCCCTCTGCCACAGAGAGGCTGGGGTACCTGGAAGGTGTGGGAGCCGGCCGTCTTCTCATCACCCACAGGCCCTGAGAAATTAATTCTGACTGTGGTAGCAGGACAAAATTAATTCTGACTGTGCTGAATGGCTGGACATCTCATCTCCTACCTCCTGACAGTGATGCCCTCCTCGATAGGCAGGGGTTGCATGCATTGTTATAAAGGCCCCAATAATTTATTCGCGGCTTCCCAACTAGCATTTGTGCACAGTCCCTGTGGGCTCAGACATCCTGAGATCAAATGCCAGATCTCTCACTTACTTTTTGTGATTTGGGGCAAGTTATTACTCTCAGTTTTTGTTCATCTTTTTTTGTAAAGTGAGGAGAAAAATAATGTTCATGTTACAAGGCTATCTGGCACAGTCTCTGGAACTGAAAGTGCAAAAATCAAAAGCATCTTACATTCTTGAAAATAGATTATTGTTCACTTTTACTTATTTTGTCATCATACAAAATTTCCCATGCACATAATCAGAACTTACCTCTGTTGTCTTACGCAAGGCAGGAATCTTTTTCCCTTTTTCACACTCCCCTATATTTGATTCATCACTTGTGACTTTCTCTTCCCTTTTATGCTATCTCTTTTGCCAGGAATGCTGTGCATTCCTTCTCTAGCCATTTTACACTCCACCTATTCTTCAGAGTCTAGGCCAGCTCACCACTTCATGAGGCCTGGGGCTTAGTGTTCTAATATTTAATTATAAACAGCGTCCTGTCTACCTGTCTCCACACCCTTCTCCTCTAGTACATTCTAAGCACTGTGACAGCAGGCCTGTGGCCTATACTTCTTCTGCCATCTCTTGCAGTGCTTCCATAACTCTGTATCTAGACCACGAATGTACCAGTCCACAGATTGCTGATTTCTTGGAGGAATGCTTATCTTTGTTGAACAAGGAACACAGAGAAAGAACTACCTTATTAGAAGTAGTAAAGAGATGAAAGAACTTTATTTAATATGCAAAGTTGGATGTTAAAGCTTATAAACATGTCTGCTGAGATCCATCCCCCTAGGTCAGTGCTCATTTCTGTGTATTTTAGGTGGATATTTGTAAAGTGAGGATTCTGTTTTTACTTTTCTACCAGCTTTTGCTTTTGCCTTTTGTTAAACAGTTCTGACTGTTTCCTTGATGGGGTAGATTTCATGTTTGAGGTTGAACTTCCGTAGCTTGGGTGAAATGAAGCATCGTGGGTCAGCCACTGCACTGCAGCTGTACAGAGCCTCCTTTAGTACAAGATCTTATCAGAGTCTCTAATGAAACATTTAGTAGAATATGTGTTATGTTAGCAACAGATCCCTCATGGTTAAGCTCTCTGAATGTATATCTGGAGGAACAAGGGCTCTTTATTCTGCATTGATAAAAATGGACTGCAAGAGCTGTCTTTTATATTTGTTCTTAATGGGCCCATTAAGTATATTGTGCATAGTGAATTCATGTAATACCACTGGCTATGTTATAAAACCATGGTATTTATATCTCAGCCTAAGGCGTAGGGGCTCTTTTAATTTAATATGAACACCTCTAAAATTCATGGATTTATTTTTCTTATTTCTTTATTTCTCTTCTTTATATATTTTCCCCTCTCGATTTTTTCTTGTCTCCTCCTTGCTTTTTCTTCACCCAATTTTCTTTCTCTTCCTTTTTTCCAAAACCTATTTACATGACAGCATGCAAAAAACATTTCTTAGTGACTATACATCTTTTCACTTTTAAAAATATATATTCATTTTAGAAGAACCAAGTTCAAAAGTGCAACATTTGGGGAAATCTAAATATTTTATTATTCTTGATAATGCCTACACTTTTTGGTACTATTTCATGAATGCATCTATGTAAGCAACTGACCCCACAGTATGACTCTATTTTGAAAGTTATAAAGCTGGATCATGGAAAACCTCCTTTCAATAGTGAATTTATTTTGAATTTTCTTTTTATAGGTTTGCCTTAGTGAAATGAGGGCACACATAAGGACTTGTGAGAAGTACATTGACACATATGGACCACTGCAAGAACTCGAGGAGACAACAAGGTTTGCTTTAATTCCATATAATTTTATGCTAAACTTGATACATCTGTAAAGAATCTAATGGGCTGGGAAAGTTTAATATTTTCATTATGGAAATGAATGGCTCTTAACTATAGTACCTGGTTACTGGTATTTATTTCATAGTAGTAATTTCTTCAAAGAATTTTGTTCTACTTTAAAAACTGGGTAGGGCCGGGGATTTAGCTCAGTGGTTCTGCCGCTTGCCTCGCAAGCACAAGGACCTGAGTTCGATCCCTGGTACCAAAAAAAAAAAAAAAAATGGGTAGAGAGCCGGGGATGTGGCTCAGCAGTGCCACACCAGCCTGGCAAGCTCAAAGTCCTGAGTTTGATTTGCAATACCAAAAAACAAAAACAAAAAATAAAAAAATAAAAATGAAACAAAAACTGGGTGGAGGGAAGGAACTAACTACACATTAAAAACATTGGAGCAACTTCCTGAGATAAGTTTATATTATATGAAATGGAATGCAGAACTCTTAGATTTCTTCTAGCCTCTGTTTGCAGACGAACAGATTCCTGAGGTAAATTGTGATTAAATGATTATTTATCTTTACTCTTCCATCACCATTGCCTCTGCTTAGTTTCTCAGTTGTTCTCTCATTTTGCTAGTTTGTCTTTAGAAAGTAGGAAGTGGCATCTCAGTGTATATTTAAGCAAGGGAAGGATGATCCTGGGCAGGTATCCTGATTCCTTAGCCTTTCCAGTAGGTGCTCTTATGTGGAGGAAGGGTGGAGGTGGCTAGTCAGTGAGATGGGGGCTGTTGATCATTAACTATTTTTTCTCTAAAAAAGAAAAAGAGGGCTGGGGATTTAGCTCAGTGGTTCCGCCGCCTGCCTCACAAGCACAAGGACCTGAGTTCGATCCCTGGTACCAAAATAAATAAATTTAAAAAAAAGAAAAAGAAGCAAATATAGGTCATTACTCTTGACAGAAAAGGTAGCTTAGCTGTATCAGGGTAATTGCAAAGTTTGAAGTCTCTCCTTGCTACAGAATAAAGAAATGTTTTGTGTTCTCCTGCCTAGGCTGGTGGCTTTGAAACTATTACATGTACTCGTGAACCCAGCTTCCCAATACTGGTAGTCAGTATAAGTTCTCTTTCCTGAAGAAAAATGTTAGTTTTACTTAAATATATTCAAAATAGAGCCTAAATGTCTTAGGCTGAAAGTCTAAAGGATCAACCCATTCTTTTTATTTTACCAAATATTGCCTTGCAAACATACCTGTTCTTATAGCTTTTGTTTTGTACTACGGTGATACAAATTTTAAGTGGTTATTTTAGCTGTGTGTAAGTCATGGATTCTGCTAGCTTGACCACGAGGACCGGTAGGAAGTAAAGATGACAAATGGTTTGAGAAAGTCTGTGGGTTTGATTGCAAGGTTGATGGGCTTTATGACAATATAAAACTATATAAAAACTAATTTAAATCCTAATTTCTTTTGCTGGTTAGAGCTACATAACAAAGATTTTAAGAAATAGATGTGGCTGGGGCATAGTTCAGTGTTAGAGCACTTGCCTAGCACATGTCAGGCCCTTGGGTTAATTTCTAACACCACAGAAAACAAAATAGGGAGAGTTATTGATGGTCTTATAGGTTAGATTAATATTTTTATTTATGATGGCAGTCTTCACTTCATATGAGAATTTGCTATAGGATTCAAATCTTAAACCCTTATACAAGAAGCTTATCCAGAGTACAAGTGTTGAGGAACAGGAAGTTATATCTATGTGGTGTGATTAAAAAAACTACAGTGAATGTTTAAATTTAAAAAATATATATTACAATAAAAGATACAGTGCCATGAGTCCCTCTCAAAATACTCACCCTTGATTCTAACATACTTATCCTTCTTGTCACTTTCTGAAGCAGTTCTGGAAGTCCTCTTTCTTTCTTTCTTTCGTTCGTTCTTTTTATTTATTTATTTTTGGTTTTTTGAGACAAGGTCTCACTAAGTAGTTCAGGCTGTTCTTGAACTCACTAGGTAGCCCAGGCTGGCCTCGATCTCAATAGCGATCCTCCTGCCTCAGTCTACCAAATGCTAGGATTACAGGCATACTATTACACCCGGCCCTGGAAGTCCTCTTTCATGAGTGTCATTTCTGTGATTTCCTCGATATCCTGAATCAGAATGTACCTGGCAATTTCTGTCAAACCCCAAAAAACAACAACAAAAAAAAATTGCAGTGTATTCTTGGCCATCTTATTCACTAGATTTGGCACCATGTGACTTCTGGGTCTTCCCCAAAGGCAAAATGACCATGAAAGGTGAATGTTTTGAGTCAATTCAGGATGTGGAGGCAGTCATGATAGTGCAACCGAAGACACTAATGAAAGAAGACTTCCAGAACTGCTTCAGAAACTGGCAAGAATGATGGGATACGTATGTTTGAAGTGTGGGGGACTATTTTGAGGCAGATTAATGGCAATTTGTCTTTTGCTGTAATAATTTTTAAAAATTTAAACATTTGCCATATTTTTTAAAAATCCAAGCCTACATATTTTCCTAAGTATTTAAGGCAGTATTATCCACCAGAAATAACATATCATGTGTAATTTAAAATTTCCTACTAACAGTATTTTAAGAAGTACAAAGAAACAGGCAAAATGAACTTTTAATTTTTTTTTTTTTGGCACCAGGGATTGAACTCGGCACCTTGCGCTTGCGAGGCAGGCAGGCACTGGAACCACTGAGCTAGATCCCTGGCCAACTTTTAATATATTTTTAACCTAATATAGCTAAAATATTATCATGTGAATATGTAATCAGTATAAGAATTATGGGGATACCTCATGTTCTCTCTTTTTTTTGTTGTTACTGGGAATTGAACTCCGGACCTTGCGAGGCAGGCGGCAGAACTACTGAGCTAAATCCCCAGCCCCTCATGTTCTCTTTTTGACATTAAGCTTCAAGATTCAATGTGTGGGCTAGGGATGTAGAGTACTTGTTTAGAGTGTTCAAAGCCTCGGGTTCAGTTGGTGTGTATTTTATATTTCCAGCACATCTTAATTTGGGGCAGCCAGGTTCCTGTGGCTTAGTAGACATTGGATAGCACAGATGTGAGGGACACTGACTGTGAAGTACGGATTAGGACAGCTGTAGGTGAATTTTTATTCATCCTTAGAAACTTAGAATGTGAGCTCATGTGTCTGGTTATGCTTGTAGTGTTGGAAAACAAATAACATCCAGTTCAGATGCTACTTGAATTAGGAAAAGAAGGATGAAAAAGGACTTCCAGGGACAGCTGGGTGCTGTGATACTCAGTTCCTAAGTGCTCAGATTGCACTTCTATGCCAAACCAGATAAAGTGCTTCAAATGTACTGTAATTGTGGGCTGGGGATACAGCTCAGTGGCGCTGTGCCTGCCTGGCAAGTGCAAGGTACTGAGTTTGATTCCCAGTATGGGGGCTGGGGTGGGGCAGTGTATGGTAATTGCTTCTCTGCTCTGTTTCTCTGAGCACACATACTGAGATTTCTTGTGGGAAAATACTTAGGCACCGGCACCCTTACCAGGATAAGAAAAATAAAATCAGATCAGGAGAACTAGGATAAGAGAGTAAATCCACTTATATTCTAATTTTTAAAAATTTTTCAATTAAGTGACTACTGTGTAGCTACCAATGATTTTAGGGATGTTTGCAATTCTGTGCAATTTCTAGGTGTGTCTGTCCATTTTGTCAGAGGGAATTGGATGAAGACAGTTTGCTGGATCACTGTATCACTCATCACAGATCCGAAAGGAGACCCGTGGTAAGAATTTTTGTTACTGTATCTTTTATTTATTTTTTATTTTTATTGGCACATGTTCGCAGTACGTAATGTTACTCTATTTGAATTTAAGATACACTAGAAAATCCACTTAATAGATTTCTTCTGATGCTGAGGATCAAACCCAGGGCTTCACATGCTAGGCAAGTGCTGTACCACTGCACAGACCCTCAGCCCTACAACTTTGGACTCAGTCATCCTGACTCTGTTTGTACTATTCCGACACAGGGCTCCTGATTTGGAAAAGCAACCAATAAATAAGTAAGATTGAGCCCTCACCCTTTTCCCCTGTACTGGGATCTGAAACAAGGCCCTTCACACGAGCTATACCCCAGCCCTCTCTCTCTTTTCCTCTCCTTTCCTTCTCCTTTCTCTATTTTTCCTGTTCTTTCTCTTTCTCTCTTGGAGTCTCTCTCTCTCTCTCTTTCATGACAAGGTCTCACTAAATTGCTAAGTTGTCCAGGCGAGGCTCAAACTTCTTTTTTTTTTTTCGAGACAGGGTCTTGCTGTGTAGTTCAGGTTGGCCTTGAGTTCACTATGTAGCCCAGGCTGGCTTTGAACTCATGGTGAACCTCCTGCCTCAGCCTCCCGAGTGCTAGTGTTGGGATCACAGGTGTATGGCACCACTCCTGGTATGTGTTTCATATTCTTTTTTTTTTTTGGTACTGGGGATCGAACTTGGGACCTTGCGCTTGCAAGGCAGGTGACAGAACCACTGAGCTAAATCCCAGGCCCCCATAGAATCTTAATATAATTTGGATGTGTGCTTCTGTGATGGCTACAGATTTGAACATTTTTTCATATACTTACTAGCCACTTGTACTTTCTTTGATAATTGTATGTTTAATTCATTGCCCATTTATCGATTGGGTTATTTGATTTTCTTGGTGTTGTTTGAGTTTCTTCACTCTTCTAGCTGTTTCCCCTGCTGTACAGAAACTTTTTAAATTGAAGCCAGGAATAGTAGTGCCCATCTATAATCTCAGCACTCTGGGAAGCTGAGGCAGGAGGATCAAAGCTTTGATCCCAGCCTGGGGAATTTGGTGACTTAAAAAAAGGTCGAGGGTGTAGTTCAGTTCAAAGACCCTGGGTTCAATCCTTAGTGCTGCAAAAGTTTTTAAAGAAAGAAAAAAAAATTAATTTGATGCGTTCCCATTTGTTGATTCTTGCTATTAGTTCCTATGCTACTGGAGTCCTGTTCAGGAAATCTTTGTGCCTGTGGCTTCAAGTGTTTCCCTACTACTTTCTTCTAGCAGTTTCAAAGTTTCAGGTCTTCTACCTAGGGTCTGTGATCCATTTTGGATTGATTTTTGTATAGGATTTATACTGGCTAGGGATCCAGTTTCAATCTTCTACCAATGGATCATGTGGATATCCAGTTTTCTCAGCACCACTTGTTAAAGAGGCTTTCTTTTTTTCCCAACTTATATTTTTGGCCCCTTTGCAAGAATCACATAGCTGTAGGTATAGTGGTTTGTTTCTGTGTCCGCTATTCCATTGGTCTACATGTCTGTTTTTGTGCCAGTTTCATTGTGTTACTATAGCTTTGTAATATAACATGGAATCTGGTATTGAAAACTTCCAGCATTGCTCTTGTGGCTCAGGATTGCTTTGGCTATTCTGAGTCTTTTTGGGTTTCATATGAATTTTAGGATTACTTTTTCTAGTTCTGTGAGGAATGTTGTTGGTATTTTAATAGAGATTGTGTTAAATCTACAGATCACTTCGGCCAATCCATGATCATGGGCTGCCTTTCTATCTAGTGTCTCCCATTCCTTTCTTCATTGTTCTATGAATTTCATCATAGAGGTCTTTCATTCCTTGCAAATCTAGACTGCTCTAAAGTTGTTCTACAAAACTCAGAGAAAAAGACCCATGTGGATAAAGATCAAAAGCAATGGGAATATTTTCATAATTCTCACAGATTGCAGAAGAATGAACATAAATACAAAAGAAATTCCATGCTCTTGGTTTTGGACCAACAGTGGCTTTGTTTAACTAGCAAAAAATTGCAGAATTTCTCCCCTACCTTCTTTCTCACCCCCGATTTATTCATGATAGACATACAATAGCATTTCTATTGTACAGTGTACTTGGGCTATTTGTGATACAGAGTGAACAAAGATTTTTATATGCTCAAAGAGAAGCATCACCATGGGAGATTAATGCAGCCTCCCACACAGGTGGTAACTAACTTCTGTCACATGTCTCACAGTATGAACTCAACCACTACAAGGGTTTTGTTTCTAGGCATCTCAAGCTCTTTAACTTTCCTTCTGAATCTATTGCAGTTTACTTGTGTTTCTCTTATCCAACAGTTAAAATACGGCTCTAAGCTTCAAGAGTGGTCAGGTCAGTAAGGAAGAAACAGCAATTGCTAGGAATTTGAATACTGTCAGTGCTGTTTATTATTAAGCATTTTATTAGCTTTTAAATGGTTGGCATACTTCTGGTCTGATAAAAATTCTCAGTAAAATAGAAACCCCAAAAGTGTTTTTTTTCTGTAGCTACTAGGCTTAGTAAAGCTGTTCCTTACCACAACCTAGCTGCTAGATCAGGAGTTTCCCACTCATTCCCCTTCTATTTCATCTGTTTTGTTTTTTTCCCTAAAAGCAGTTACATTTTAGTGGTTCATCAGAGTCACCTGGAGGGCTTGCTTAGCCCCAGAAGACTGGACCCACCCCCTAGAGTATCTGATTTGAGAGTCTGGGCTGGGGCCAGGTCACTTGCTTCCCCCTGCCCCAGAGCTGGAGATTGAATCCAGGGCCTCTTGCAAGTCCTGTACTGGGGAGCTAGACCATCAGCCACAAAATGTGCATTTCTAACAAGTTTTCAAGTGGTGCTGATGCTGCAGGTTTGAGGACCCCACCCTGAGAATCTATTGCTCTGTTTAAAACTTTTAAGAAAGAGCAAGCCAGAAATAAGACTGTGGTTTTCTTTTGTTCTATTCTTTGTAGACCTGCATTGAATAGTCTGCATTCTAGAGACTTAAAGAATAAATACCCTCTCAAAGAATCATTTCTACCTGTGACAACTGTGGTTTTCTTTTAATTCCTCTAATGCATCTTATGTTAGATCGGTCCCTTTTTCCTAGCAGGCAAATCTCTGGTCTTTGTTTTATTCGTCTATAAATCAAAGGTAAAGAAAATCAGTTTGATATGGGTTACCTTTGGCACTTAGTTTCGTGGCAGGAAAGAGCAATGAATCAAGATTCATGCCGTGGAAAGGCACTATTTGGAATCAGTAAGCTCAAGACCAGAAAATGTAAACTGCAGGGCTAAGGGAGGCACACTAAGGGCACCTGTAGGACAGGCTGAGGGTCTTCCTAAAGCTGCCAGCCCCGCAAATCGGGACAGGCAGATGTGCTTGTCTGCTGTTCATTGTTGTGCAGTGTGAACAGGCTGTGGGAGCTCACCAACAAGGACTTCCCTCTGGCAGCACAAGAACACGGTAATATCACTGTATTTGCTAAGTGAGAAGCTATTTAGTCATAGTTCTTGATTTTTTTTTTTTTTTTGGCAACACTAGGGATTGAACCCAAGACCTTCACACTGAGCAATATCCCCAGCCTTTCTCCCTTTCTCTCTCTCTCTCTCTCTCTCTTTCTTTCTTCAGGGTCTTGGTATGTAGTTAAGGCTGGCCTTGAATTCACCATGTAGCCCAGGCTGGCCTCAAGGCTGGCCTCCTGCCTCAGCCTCCAAAGTGCTAGCATTACAGGTGTGCTCCATCATGCCTGGCTACCTTTTAAAAAGTTAAACATATTTTTACCACGTGACCAAGCAAACTCTAGAAATTCATCCTAGAGAAATGAAAACTTACATTTATTGAAACATCTGTACACAAATACTTGTTAGTTTTATCTGTAACAACCCCAAACTGGAAACAATCTGAATGTCCTTCAGAAAGAAATGGGTAAATAGACTGTGAAACCTCCTTACCACGGACTACTGCTACTCAGCAATAAAAAGAAAGGAGCAGCTTTGGTGGTTCTGAAGGTCACTGTGTTCAGTGGAAAAAGGCAATCTCAAGCGGTTAAATACCGTTTAATCCTGTTCATGTAGCGTTCTCAAAATGATGAAATCATGGAAGTGCAGCACAGATTGCTCCACAGAGGTTGGGGAGGGAGGAGAAAGTACAAGGATGTTCCACACTGGCGTTACTTTGTAGAGGGGGAACGGATCTGTGTCTTGATTCTGCTAGGGGTTTTCACATCTCTCCATGTGAACATTTATAAAGTTTCATAAAACCTTGTAAAACACACACAGAGGCAAAAAATTCATATCTGTAAAGGTTAGTAAAATGTAATGTCTGTAGCCTAGTTAACTGCCAGTTTCTGGGTTTCAGCAACGCCCTGTAGTTAATGTCATATGTTGGCGTGTGAGGAAACCAAGTGATAGAGACAAAGGACCGTTCTGCATTGTTTTTATAATTTCTTATGAATTTATAAATGTCTCAAAATTAACTTATTTTTTCCTTTTACCGGTGATTGAGCCCAGGACCTTCATACTAAGAGTCATCCTTAGACCTTTTTTTTTGTACCAGGGATCGAACTCAGGTCCTTGTGCTTGCAAGCCAGGTGGCAGAACCACTGGGCTAAATCTCCGGCCCCTTAGACCTTTTTAAAAAATGGTTTCGGTTTTTTTTTTTTTGAGACAGAATCTCACTAAGTCTCTAAGATGCCCAGGCTGGGCTTGAACTTATAGTTCTCCTCCCTGGGGCTCTCTATTTCTTTTTTGAGACAGGACTTTCCTATGTAGTTCAGACTAGCCTTGAACTGGTGGCAATCCTCCTGCCTCAGCCTTCCAAGAGCTGGGATTATTCACTTGGCTTCAAGGAATCTCCATTTCTGGTCATTTATCCTAAGAAAATAATCCCCCCTAAAAGGTAAATATGATAGAAAATGTCATTTGCACTAAGAAAATATATGAATACAAAAACCTTAAATATTTTAAGAGACAGAAACCTAGTTCAGTAAGTTCTTGTACATCTACCAACTGTAACATTGTTAAAATACGTAAATATGAAACAAAGAGTTAATATATCACATGTTCAAATAGACAAGAAATGCATATGAAGAAATAACTGCAAGTTCGTTTAACATTCTTTTTAGTAGCTGTGCAATTTTACAGCACAAAAATGAGATGGCAAATGGATCTAGAAAAGTTAAAGTTCATTTTTGTAGTTCAGGGATTAAATTTAGGGCTTCCCACATACTACGCCTATGCTCTACCACTGAGCTACATCTCCAGCTCCATTTTATTTTCATTTTCTAAATTTTGAGACAGATTCTTGCTCATTTCCCCAGGCTCACCTCAAAATTTGAAAGTAGCTAGTATCACAGGTGGGAACCACTAGATCCAGCTAAAATTCACATTGAATGATTTGTTTTCTTAAATATTCTATGCCAATAATTCTTTTAGATTCTTTCTTGAACTCTTGCTCTTATTTCTTTCCAGTTCTGCCCGCTTTGCCATTTTATACCAAATGAGAATCCAGGCAGCTTCAATGGCAGTTTAATAAGACATTTGCAAGTTAGCCACACTTTGTTTTATGATGATTTCATAGTAAGTATATTGTTTTCCTTTTACATTGTTTTTGTGCTGCTGTGTTAAGCTTACTTTTTTACTCCAAGTGGATAAAATTACAGAGGAAAATTGTGTATATTGCTAACGTGCTAAACATCAGCGTTACATAGGAAATCATGAAATTATAGTGTCTTATAAATTTGACTGTTGATGCTAAAGTAATTTTTTGCTTTGGATGAAGTTATTTTCTTTGTGATTTAGATAATCAGATGTAATATAAACAGCCAGACTTAGCCTTTAAGTTGTTTAAATTTTTATTCTAGTTCCTCCCTTCTTAGTTACAACTTGAATGACATTGTGAACTTATATAGTGGAGATGAAATCATATCAATATCATATCAATGAATCATATAGTGGAGATGAAATCATATCAATAATGAACCCCCTCAGACCTCTGTGTCCGGTTGCTTTCATACCCAATCGTAGACAGAATACAGTGAACCTCATCAGGTTCTCACAACCTTGCCTGAATCACTCATAGTGATTCTTGTTTTTTCAAGTTGGATGAAAAATTATATCATATGAATAGGGGTTTTTTTGTTTTTTGCTTTTTGTTTTGTTTTGATTTGGTTTTTGGTTTTTTTTTTTTTTTTTGATACCAGGGATCAAACTCAGGTCCTTGCGCTTGTGAGGCAGGCGGCGGAACCACTGAGCTAAATCCCCGGCCCTGGTTTTTGGTTTTTTGAGACAAGATCTCGCTATTAGTTCAGGCTGGCCTTGAACTCACTATGTAGCCCAGGCTGGCCTCGAACTTGCAGCGATCCTCCTACCTCAGCCTCCCAAGTGCTGGGACTGCAGGATATATAAATAGTTTTTAATACTTATGTTATTATATATAATGATATATAAGCGCTTATATATTATTATATATTTTTCATTATGAGAAGCGATAGTCCTAAGTAAACAAAAAATTAACATAGCTTTTGCTCTGCTTTGGTCCATATGTTGCTATTTAGGGATATGGCATTGTCTCCTAAGTCCCTTTCGCCAAAAGATTATTGCCTGTTATAGGGAGAAAATTACTCCTAGCAATGTTCTCAAATAATTTTCACTGATTTTGACTGTTGTCTTATGCAGTTTCAAGATGAAATTGTTGAAGGTTGACATCTAAAAATTTTCTCTCCCTTTCTTTTTTTTTTTTTTTTTTTTTTTGAGTTAAGTTCTCACTGTTTAGTCCAGGCTGGCCTCGAACTGTCAGTTGTCCTGCCTCAGCCTCCCAAGTGCTAGGATTGCAGGCATGGGCCACATGCCCAGATGTTCTCCGTATTTTCTGACCTGCGCATTGTGATTATCCAGATTGGACCCAAGGGCTGGGGATTTAGCTCAGTGGTGCTGCCGCCTGCCTTGAAAGCGCAAGGTCCTGAGTTTAATCCCCAGTACCAGAAAAGAAAAAAGAAAAAGAAAAATCAGCTTGGACCCAAGGGGCCTGGGTGCTGAGCTAGTTTAAATAATAGTTCTGTCACAGCCCTGCAGGTTTGTGGAAGGCATTTAACCTCTGAACTTCAGTTGTTCAATTTGTAACATGGGGAAAGTAAAAACACCTACTCCCAAAAGCTCTTTTGAGGATTAAACAAGAGAGAATGCATAGAAAATGATTTATTTGCACAGTTCAGGCATATGTGATAGACAGGATTAATTGCATGCCTTTTTCTGGCCACTTATGTTCAGGCTGTTCTCAAGGTCTTCCACAGGATGACCCAGAATGTGTCAGGAGGAAGCCAATTTGTTGAGAGTATTTTATAGCCATTCAAAACCATAGTTTTGAGTATGGAAGTGAACTGGAAGTAGTGGTCTTTTTTTTGAATTTTTTTTTTTTTCCTAAACTGCCATATACCAGGGTAGTATGTTTTATTCTGGACAGTAACTTCTGGAGGTAAATACGGTATTTTCATCTTCATTTAACCACCAAATAGCTGAAGCTCCAAGTCTTAAGTGTTCAAAAGAACAAGCCAATATTAAGTCCAAACTCTGTGCCTTATGGCTTTCCTTTAGACTTCATTTGTCTTTGTGTTTTAGGACGGATTTTCAGCAGAAATTTTGCTTTTTGTCATTTGTTTATTGTGGAAAAGGAGAGCGATCACAGAGGATAGGGCTCTTAACTTTTGTTTTACTTAGGGATTGTGACACATAGGCAAGAAGAGTCTTGTTTGCAACCTTTTTTTTTTTTACAAGTAGATATTTAGCAGCACTCTGACACTGTGAATCCTAGGGGATGTGTGGTTTGGGTTTGGTTTTGTTTTTGAGGCACTGGTGATCAAACCCAGAGTCCTGCACATGCTAGACAATGCTCTGCCACTGAGCTACCACCCAGATCGCTAGGGAATGTCTTAACATTACCCATGTTACATGTTCTTGTGAAATTTAACACTCTGACCAGGATTTGGAATATTGAATAAAAACTGCTGATTAGGTCAGATCAAAACTTTAAATTCCAAACCAAGACTATTTTTATTATGGTAGTAACTAGTTCATTCCTAGGGTGTAAAATGAAATGGAATATGTACTGGCCTCAAAGCAGAAGTCCCAGGTTCTCTGACAGGATTTGTGGAATCTTCGACAAGTCATTTAACTCAGGGCTTTAGTTTCTTGCAAAATGAGGGCATTGCATTGACCCTCATCCTCCAATTTCTGAAACACAATTGATTCTGCACATTACTAACTATTTTTCTTTATTGTAGGATTTTAATATAATTGAGGAAGCTCTTATCCGAAGAGCCTTGGACCAGTCGCTTCTTGAATATGTGAATCATTCGAACACCACATAATTTTATGAATAGAAAAGGGAAGTGGAGCATTCAATTGTACCATTTCAAATGCTGCTTGAACAGTTGGAGGGAAATTGTCAATGTTTCATGGGGGGAAATATACAACCCTGTTATAAGTTTGCCCATGGTTATTGTTGTATTGCATTCAAAAACTGCTTTCATTCTGATGGTTTACATCTAGCTTGTTTTTGAGTTTCTTAGACATTTAACAAGAAATAGACTCCATCAGTCATCAGTATATAGAAGAAACACAGGCTGAGTATGAAGGTGGAGAATCTCTATTTGCAAATTGGGTGACATTAGGTGTAATGCTACATATTAATAACTACCACCATGGGTTAGGCAAGATAACTAATCTCTGCTCTATGTAAAAAGATGGAGAGAGAAGCAATGTGCAGCTATTCAAGGAAATATGAAACTTGTTCCAATGCTCTTGTTGTAATCTCTAACAGAATAACATGAAGAATCTTGTATGGAAATAGGACAGGACAATTTTGAAGTTAACAAAGATCATTTAACCAAATTATATTATGTAATACTGTAACAAAATAAATTTTGTGTTAGCAATGTGTACTTAATTCTTTGACTTTTTATATGGACACATAAGAACTTAATATTTTTCAAATATTTGTAGCTTGTTATTTAGAAATATTTCTATAATATAATTTCTTTTTTTATAATATAATTTCTTAAGAACCATCAGTTGATATTTACAGAAAAATTTACATCTCTACTTTTTAGTGTAAACTCCAAGGGCTCTGTTTTTAATTTCAACCTTTTAAAAATTATAAACTAAAACACATACTAAAGATTAGACACAAAATTGACAGCCTTATGCATTATTAAAAGAAACATTCTTTTAGAACTCTGCCAGCTACCCCATTTGTATTCTTTGTGTCCTGTCAACAACTACAAGCCCACAAAAGCAACCACTACACTGATTTCAGTAGCAGACACAAACCCTCACCCTGAGCCATATTCTCCATTTTAGACATTGGTTTTAAACTTGCTTTTCTCAGCTCTAGACAAGTAATAGCAGATTTTTATTTCACAACCTCTCTTCCTCAATTTGGATGGATCATACAATAAAGGAAAACCTGCTGGACAAGAGAAGTTAACGATTGGACTGAAAATCTGGCTGCTGAAAAATAGAAGAAAACATTCTTGAATATTAGTACCTACTGTGGAGACAGTAAATCTTGGTTCATTTAGAGAAAAAAAAAAAAATGCATCTTTAGGCCGGGGATTTAGCTCAGTGGCACAGCGCCTGGCTGGCAAGCGCTAGGTCCTGAGTTTGATCCCTGGTATCAAAAAAGAAAAAGGCATTTTTTACATTTGTAAAACCTGAAAAATTAAATCTTAAATTAAAAACTTAAAAAAAGTATATTTTAAGGGAAGCTTAGGGCATCTACCATGCTTAACTGCAGTATAGCAATTCTGAATCTTGTCCCTGAATTCCTTTTATGATAATTTTGCCATCTACAGGACGAGTTAGGTGCTGGCCACCTGGATTATTTTGAGTTCTTAATTATTTTGAGTTCTAGAAATGCAGATATTCATTGTTTCACTTTGGGTTGGGTTTTGGAGTTTTTTGCTTTGTTTTTGAGACAGGAACTCACTATGCAGCCTAGGCTGGCCTTGAACTTGCAGAGATCCTCCTGTCTGAGCCTCTTGAGTGCTGGGATTACAAGGTATGTGCCACCATGCCTGGCTTCAAATATTCATTGTTTCACCATGCCTTTAGCTTTTTATAAGAAGGTTTTAATCATTGTTTTAAAAAATGAAAATTATTATTTGAAATACCAACAAAAAATTTGACTCACTTTCTACTTTTTGGTACCAGGCATTGAACTCAGGGCCTCATGCTGTGCCACTGAGCTACATCCCCGGCCCTCACTTTCTTGCTGAATCTTTCTTTATTTTGGTACCAGGGATCTAACTCGGAACCTTGCACTTTCGAGTCAGGCACCAGAACCACTGAGCTAAATCCCCAGACCTTATTTTCTTTATAATGCATCAGGGTACACCTTTTTCAAGGCCTCCTAAGGGAAAAACTATTTCACGTTGTTCTTCTAAAGTTAAATTCTCCTAGCTCTGCAAAAACCTATGGAAGTAAAAACAACAACAACAACAACCTATGAAGGTTTCCTATTCATATAGTTTTGCAGCCACATTTCTCAAGTGTAGGTGTAAAGATTGGGTTGATTGTGAATCTATGGTAAAGATAAGTTTCCACATCAAATCTCTTAAGCAATTTTGTCTCCAATGATGTTGCTTCATTACTGTTACTGGGTGCTAGCGTCTTTCATTTTGAAGGGAGCTTACTCCAGTTTTTGAATATTTATCATATTGTAATTTGTATCCTCAGACACTAAAGGTATTTTAGAAGTCCTAAGAGATTGATTCTTTTATTAGTCAATGGTAAAAATATATATAATCAGAATTTAAAATGTGCAATTACAATTGTATTGGAATAATACAATTCCAATTATATTACTATGGAAAATAAAGAATGGCAGGACCATTGAATTCATTAAAATATCTACCGGGTTCATTCTTAAATATTGACCTTAATTGTTTTTTACACAAACGTAATATTCTTTCTGTTTTTTGGTGGTGGTGGGGATGGACCCCAGGCTCTCATAGAAGTGCTAACCCTGCCCCGCCCACTAATATGTGTTTTAGATTGTTACCATTCGGTAGCATGTAGTAAAATCTGCGTTCTCAATGGGATGTACTTTTGCGTTTCAGAGGACATTGGCAATGCCAAGAGACATATTTGGTTGCCATAACTGGGGCAGATGTGTTATTGGCCTGGGAGCTGGGTGGGTAGAGGTCAGGGATATTGCCCAACATTCTACAGCACACAAGATAGCCCCTCACAACAGTTCTCTTCCCTAAATATCAGTATTGCCAGGGTTTACAAGCCCCAGGTTGACTAAGATGTTGCTGAGCATCCTAGAATTACTATTGGTTTGGCTTGCAAGGGATTTCATTAAAACATGAAGGGTAGGACACAGGGCGGGGATGCAGCTCAGTGGTGCTGCGCCTGCCTGGCAAGTACAAGGTCCTGAGTTTGATTCCTGGTACTGGAAAAACAAAAAAACAAAAATAAAAGGTAAGACACAGTGGCTGGGGATTTAGCTGAGTGACAGAGGGCTTGCCTAGCATGTGTGAGACCCTGGGTTTGATCCCTAGCACTATAAAAATAATGATTTTTAAAATAAATATTTTTTCCAAAACAGCTTCATTTAATCAATAGAAATAGTTGCTTAAATGATATGAAGGGCTGAAAGTCAAAATGTACCTGAGAAACTTTAGCTGTGGAGCTGGAAAAATCTCACTCACTGCCAGAAAATAATAATTTTTTTAAAAGATAAGATACAAATATTGTATTCCCTGAAAAATACTAAGTTTTGAGTAGCTATACCTGTCATGTCTACCTATGTGTCAAGAATATATGGAAGCTTTTTAAGATTCTTTTTTTTTTTTTTTTTTTTTTGGTACCAGGGATTGAACTTGGGACCTTACACTTGCAAGGCAGGTGCCAGAACCACTGAGCTAAATCCCGGCTCTTTTTAGGATTCTTTGTGATAAGTATAAGTTATAACAGAGGTGTTATTGACATAACTTCTGATAACTCAATTTGCTAAGTAACTTCCTAAAAACTAAGGAACCCAGGATCACTTGAAGACCTACCTTTATTGCTTAAATTATTCTTATACAAATACCTAAGACAAAAAGATCACAGAAGAACGACTATGTCTAAGATCTTTGAGGCTAAGAAATATTTGTGTTTTAAAATTATTACTGGGAAATCATCTAATTTTTAATCCTGCAGATGTCAGAGACCACATATGAGTCTTAAAGCTAACCATTGCCCCTATACAGCCACGTAGGAGGCCTAATGAAAAGTGAACCAAAAGGAGCCAGGTGTGGTGGCTCATGCTTGTAATCCCAGCACTCGGGAGGCTGAGGCAGGAGGATTGCTGTGAGTTTAAGGCCAGCCTGGGATACATAGTGAGTTTAAGACCAGCTAGAACTAATAGTGAGACTCTGTCTCAAAAAAGCAAATGAAAGAAAGAAAGAAAGAAAGAAGGAAAGAAAGAAAGAAAGAAAAGAAAAAAAAATGAACCAAAGGGAGATGAAGACAGGTGAAATTATGGCCTCATTACACAGAACCCCCAAGTTTCACCACTCACCCGAAGGCTACTGTGGGCTCTGTCTGTCCATTCTCCAGGGCTGCACTGCTCTAGCCTCAGAACTGCAGGGAACTTTGTCTCCTGGCATTTGCCTATCACCGTGCGCTTCCTCAGTCTCCCCTCCCCACAGCATGCCGGAGAGTGGCCGCACAGGTCATTTCTGCTCAAGGCACACAGCCACAGGTTGTGCCAGGGTGTCAGCAGAATGGGGTCTGCTTGTGTGTTGAGATATAACAGTGATGCCCACCGTGGAGATCCAAGGCAAGCGGAGTTGACAGAGCAGCCATGACAAATATAGATAACAGACAATACACTTAAAAATGTCTAGATGGTACATTTTATTTTTGTTCTTTTTATTTTAAGATGGTAAATTTTATGTTATGAGCTTTTAAACAAACAAATGAAAAAGTCTTAACCCAAATACCATGGTGTGTATATATAGTTCTGTGACACCCAATTTGGGAAATTATAATTGTCGGTGAAACTTAGGAAGGAAGAAATAAAATAAAACATTTAAATATAGAGACTGCGCCATCCTACCCTCTGTTGCTATTCTTTTTACCCACTGGTCTGTCTTCAGATTGCTGATAAAGCTTAAAACGTATAAGCATGTTTGCTTTTTCTCTCCTTGCATTTACGTGGTTGTACCCTATTTTAGGCATTTATTGGTCTGAATGTCCAGTCACCTTGTTTTTAACTTAATTACCTCTTTCAGACCCTATCCCCAAGTTGAATCACTTTCTAACTTACTGGGGGTTAGGGCTTCCAAATATGAATAGGGGTGTGGGAGAGAACTATTGAGGCTATAATGTCTATTATTTAAAATTTTATTTATTTGGTGGGTGCTGGGGATTGAACCTAGAACCTCCACACATGGTAGGCAAAACTCTATCACTGCAGTACATAGGTTCTTGCTATGCTGCCCAAGGGTGGCCCTGAACACCTGGGCTCGAGAGAGTCTCCTGATTCAGCCCCCCAGTGTAGCTAGGACTATTGATGTACACCACTGTAGCCAGCTAAATTCTTTATATTAAACTTTCTCTGTTCAAATAACTCCATGGTTTCTCCCTCCTGATTAGATCCAGAGGGATAAATCCACTTGTGTTGATTTTTCATGAGTATCTTCAATAAAATGCAGCAAGAACTTGGGAATGCTTGTGCACACCTGTAGTCTCAGCACTCTAGGAGGCTGAGGAAGGAGGATCACAAGTTTGAAAACAGCCTGGGCAACTCAATGAGACCCTATGTCCGGTGAAAAATAAACAGGGCTGGGGATATAGCTGAGTGCAGAGGACCTGGGTTCAATCTGCAGTACTGTGAAAACAAACAAACACACACACACAGGATAGCAGGGTTTTGCTTTTACTGTTTTACCA